GATTTTGAGTTCTGTATGGCTTTTTTTCTCTTCACTCGGACCAATCCATCTAGTCGACTTCTTGTACTTGCTGTTTTATTTGCCAATTACTTCTTCAATTGAGAGAAAGAAAGAGAGTAGTAAGAATTCTCTTATCCCATTTGGAAGGATACCATCTTTATAACTATCCATGACTGTTTTTGTCTCTAGCATGACCACTTGAGAAAATGTGGAGGAAAGTAGGGGAAATGGCCGATACTACTGGAAGAATTCCTCTTTGGCTAAGGGGGGGGGGGCTAAATGAAGAGCGGACCAGACTCTTCTTTGTTTCAGCTGCTCCCACGCACGAAGATTTATCTATTGATAGAGTTAAGGGCTCGGCTCCCCCGACTTTAAAAGGTTAGGTTACTACCAGCTTGCCTCTACGGAAGAGGTGTACTAGGGGACGTCCTAATCCTTTTGCCACCGCAAGGCTGGCTAATCGTACGCAGCAGGAGCAAGGGAACTCCCCTAGTTCAGGAAGGCACATGAGTCCGAACGCTATTATGAATGTGCGACCGACACTACACTACGTAGGTACATGTGCATGCTGGTCATATGTATAGGACCAATTGAGGTATTGGTCATGGACTTAAATATATTTTGGAGGCTCATAAGGGCCCGTTTACAGGACAAGGCCATAAAGGTCTCTATGAAATCCTAACAACGTGATGGCATGCTCAATTATCTCTTAACCTAGCTATGCTAGGCTCTACAACTATTGTTGTAGCTCATCATATGTACTCTTTATGAGGGAGGAAGTCACGTGAGAGAATGCTAGGAGCATGTAGGTACATCATCATGCGTGTAGGTAACTGCATCCACTTCTGAAACCATGCATTTGTGAGTGGGCACTTGCATGAAGGAATGAATGGACGGACAAGATTAAAATTGTACTTACGATGAAACGGTCTTAGTTTCAGAGGTGATGGTTGCAGAGAAATCAAAGTTAATAATTCTCAGTGGGTTCCATCTATATAGGTTATATAGATTCCGTCACGATCCTTCGCTACACTATCCTATTCTTCTCTTCTCCATCGGTAATGCTTGGTTTAGGGCGTCCGTCAGTCCAGACAGACCGAACCCGCGTGCACAATAACCAAGAAAAAAAGAGGGGCGTACAGTTGCAGTCAGGCAGGGCCCCCGAACCTGTCCTTTCTGCAGGGTAGTGCATGGGAGTGCGTGCGACCACTCAGTTTGGCATGGGTGCATGTGGCACGGGCAGCGCATGGGAGCACGTGTGGCCACTGGCTCGGCGTGTGGTGCATGCAGCGCGTGGGGGCTTGTGCATGGGCTCTTACCACTTGGCAATGCTGGGAGTTTCTGAGAGGAGCGGGGCTTGCATCTGCATGCGTCGTTTGCTGCTCTCATGACGGTTGATCGTTGGCAGCTGAGTGCTGGCCCAAATTTTCGTCACTCCATGGCATCGAGCTACGTATGTTTTTATGCGTTTCAGATGTATATTTCATCTGGTGTTGCATGTTTTCATATGGATGTTGCATATGTTGCATTGGTTATACACGTATGTTGCAAGTGTATGTTTCATCTGTTTCAGACGTATGTTGCAAGTGTTTTATCTATATGTTTCATATGTTGCAATGTCTATACACGTATGTTGCAAGTGTATGTTTTAAATGTTTTATCTGTTTCAAATGTATGTTGCAAGTGTTTTATCTAGATATAGCATATGTTGCAGTGGCTATATACATATGTTGCAACCATATGTTTTAAATGTTTTACCTGCTTCAGACGTATGTTGCATCAAGTGCTTCATGTTGCAAGTGTTTTCATTAGCAGGAGCAGTATGTTTTATGCATTTCAGATGTATATTTCATATGTTTCATCTGAATACCGCATGTGTTTCATCGGATGTTGCAAAAATAGATCTGGTGTTACAAATGTAAATATAGTCCCCACCTGCATGCACGTCCACTGGCGCGTAGCACAGAAGCGAAGCGAGGGGCGCAGCAACATGCGGGGGCAGGGGCGGGAGTGGTCCCCACCTGCATGCGTAGGCGCGCAGAACGGAACAAAGTGAAACACGCAGCAGCAGGCACGGGCTTGCGTGCGTACGTGCAACAACATGTTGGGGCGGGCGGGTAGTTGTAGCCGCATGCGGGACAAGCGAGGTAGGCGGCGACAGGTGCAGCATGCGGTCAAACTCATCAGGCATGTGGGGTGGGCGCAACAGGCGGGGCGGGCGCGGGCATCCGGACGAGGGCTAGCGTCCGGACGTCCGGGCACTAACCATGCCCCTTCTCCGTACATTATGCCTTCTCAAATCAGTGGCATTAACCATCGTAGGAACCTGAACGACATGGAAGCCGGAAGTGCCTCCTCACCTCCATCAACTTCCCACATCCATCGTGTGGACGTGGACCTAGTGGCAGGTTGTACAGAAGGACGGTGCACTCGGCTCTCGGCAGCCATTGGGTGGACAGTGACTACCGGACAGGGATAATCAAGGAGGGCGAGATAGTGATAATCGAGGATGGTGCGGATGACGACCCATCGCCTCCACTACTCATGTTCTTCAGCGGCCGCCACATGGAGATGACTTAGATTTCAAACAATGATAATTGAGGAGGGGCTGACAATGATAATCGAGGAGGGTGCAGATGAGGGCCCGTCGCCACCACTGCTCATGTTCTTCAGCGGCTGCCGCATGGAGATGACGTGGATTCCTCTGCACGATCTCATCTTAGTTGCACCTCTAATATATCGAGTTGCTGGAGGCGACAACGGTGGTGGTTGAGTAGGAGGACGGCAACTAGAGCCACAAACACACTCAAAGTCCCCGCCTCCAGCAAGGTTGTCATGGGCCTCAAGGAGGTGAGTGCCCCTAACTCGGGGATGCCGGAGGAGTGCACCATCTGTGTGAGTGATTTCTCCACCGACAACATGCTTAGTCCGATGCCGTGCTCCCACGCCTTTCATCAGCACTGCATCTCCCGCTGGCTCCGAATGAACCATGTTTGCCTACTCTGCCGCCATCCCTTGCCTACGCAACAATAGGACGATGACGAGGGTTATCCATAGGCGAACATGCTTGAGGACGCCTAGTCCTGGAAACAGATCTTTCAAGTGAATTTGTAGAATAATAATGTCACTGTTCAGTGTTCACCACCAGACTACTACTTAATTTGGTCATGAATGCACCTCCCAATATACTTAATTTTTTCACCAATGCAAGAGTAGTTGTAATCTAAAACCAGCTTTGTTTTAATCTACACCTCCCAATATACGTAACAATAGGCAAACATTAGAGCCATGCATGTTCTTTTTAGACTATCCACAACGTGCATGAAGGAGCATCGAAGCTTGAAACATCAAGCTAGCACCGGTTCCTGGTTTCTATAAAATCTGCAGTATATAAGCATCGTCTTACTCATCTTTTAAGTGGGTCCTGCTAAATATTAAAAGCATTCATCCCCTCTGCTGGCCCTTCTTGCATATTCTCACAAACATTTAACTCACCAAGCATCGGTGCATGTAGAAGTCTTGATGCCTGATTCTCGAGGTTTGGGAAGAAAGATGCTACGAATATTCCTCGAGGCATCTTTGAGGCTTGCAGAGAGAAAAACAATATTCATTCGCTGAAAAGTACTAGTTCTGCTGAAGTAGTGCTGAAGAACATGACGAATGTGTCTAGTCTCTAGAAATTTCAAAGCTTTATTATAATTGTTCCTCCCCCAATGTTTGTAGCAGCTATGTCTACTTGCTAGAAATACCATGAGCTCTGTTTTGTAGCGTGTTGTTGGTACAATTGTTATTATTATTGTTCTTATGCAGCGAGTATTTGTCAATCTTGCTAGAAATATTATTATGCACATGCTAGTTTCTTCTGCATCTACATCAACTTCTTAAAAAAAATTAAGGAGACTAAAAAATTTGACATCGAGAATCTGCCTTTCCCTTGTCTCTCCGTGACACAAACAAGAGGTGCTTGATGCTCCGCCTTGAGGTGCCAAGCCTTTCTAGCAGAGAGCACCGGAGCATGCCACTTTACAGTGCATCAGCACCATAGGTCCACAACAGATCTTAGTAGGTGAAAACGTGGAACATGGTTACGTCCCTCGTTTAAAAAACATTAATGTTTCTATTTTGGGAATATTTATGTTCCTATAGTGAAAAAAGGAAATATTATAAAGTATCACTCCACGCTCCCTTCCTGGAATATGTGCCATGTTCGCATGGTTGATAAACCATACTGAAAAGTACTGCTGGCTGATTTATTGTGAGAGAAAAATAATATTCGTTGACTGAAAAAGTACGACTTATAAGGGAAACGAACTGAGCAATGACTACTATCCCACCAGAGGCAATGGGAGCAAACCATATTCCCACCAGAGGAAATGGTAAATCAATGGGTGCGCCAACATTCAAATAGTCAAATCTAAAAGCTCACGTGGTTGCTCATAAATACAACTACATTTGCTCACAATAATATAACTATATTTTCAATTCAATCAGATGACTCGAGTTCGGAACAAGATCAAGCCAACTTGGGTAACTGACTTGATGTAGGACTAAATCTAAAAAAAACTAATACTAAAATAAGGATTATTTTGATTCGATTAGGAAGAAGAGCAAAGCCTCCATTCCTTTTCCATGGCAGAGTATCCATTCTTCCTCCGATCTGGAGGGAGAATCATTTGATACATAATGTTGAACCTTTTTCCATGGTTTGATAGTTGAGATGATTTTTTCTGTATGATGAAAATTATATTACACCCAATTACAACTCTTTATTTTATGTTTTATCTGAAATATGGCAGCTACAAAATCACTGGTTCAAAAAAAAAAATTACAGAGCATTGCATGCGACCAACCCTCGGTACCAAGCTCGAACATTCAACTAGGCTATCTGTCACGGCAGCACTTTAGGATGAATAACGACTACACAGACCCTCAACATTCAGTAGCCCAACCTTTAACACACATATAGATCATATAATACGTCATAAAATAATGCTGGTTGCTCATTTCAGTAGAGATCTTGCAAGGTGCTCCCTAGCTGTGGCTAGGGCCTGAGATATCGTCTGCACAGAGCAGGTCACAGAAATCATGAGACATGCAACCTGTTAAGTAATGTGATAGGATGGATAAAGTAATTACCTGCTCAGAAAAGGGCACAGAACCATCAACAGCATTGGTTGCGACCTTCCCAGCAATGGTATTTGCGTCTGTTTCCAGGATGATTCTGCAAAATAAAACCCAGATTGTTTCAGTACATTCTCAAAAAATAAACAAGTTTGTGGCTAGGTAACTACTGACTGCAACTAATACTCCATGAGCAATCTATAACACAGAATTAAAAGTAATCATGCTTTCTTTCCAAACTCCACAGGTTAGCTACTATAGCATGTTTTACATAAAAAATATAGCAAATAGTATCAAAGGCAACCATTTTAATTCAATCATGATTGCACTTCTTGTGGAAATCAATCATAATTACGCCAAAGAATAAGCAGATGTCACAGGCGATCATAGATGCACACACTGGAATAGGCAGTTCAAATAGCTTTCTTCTCCATGTTAAGTAATATAATAATTCATAAAAACAGATGCCATAAAACAGGCAGCAGTGAGACCATGCCAGAATCACATGGAAGGTAAAAAAACTAATGCAGAGCTAATAGCAAAAGCAAAGTCACAGAACCATCTAACATAGTACAGCCTCACATTTGAAATAGGACAATGTAGAACATAGCTGATAACCAAAACCTAGCACAAGTCAAGATTGTTACCCCCCATCTATGATTTCATCGATGCAGAGAAGTATCAAATCCAAGTTCTCAAGAGCAGTCCGCTTCTCAACATCACCCCTAAAGCACAGTAAGCAGCACGTCAAAAACAACCACATACAAAGGTAACTGCACATACAGTAATAAGAGAAGATAGACAACCTGAGTAGAAGACCAACAGAATCAGAAAAACCATGTAGTACACTTGCTAAAATTAGTTCATTCTCATCATCTCCAGCGGTGACAAAAAAGTGAAGGTCATGTACAAACTTGTAAACGACAATATAACCATCAAACAATGTTATCTCAGCTGCAAAGAACCAAAAATAAGCATCAGGGAGAATTTACTTCTGGACAATAGACACCCCCTGGTGCCCAAGTATAGCAAAGGAAATTCAACCTAGCCATCAACCTAGTGCGCGAAGTTTGATTCAATACGTGTAAAAGTGCATGGACAATAAAGCAGCCTCATTGCAATTTATAACATGGTTACCAACAATGTAATAGCATGTATTTATGCAGCGCACACTGCTTAGCTATTGTTCAAATTCATTAAAGTGATTGCATAGCCCAAACAAGTAAAGTGATTGAGCAATTGTTAACAAAATCAAATAACAGGTTTCAGACAAGAAAATTTGGAAGTGGTTGAAAGTGCAACTGTAGTTAATTGAACACTAGAGGACCTAACAACTAGTGTGAAACAGAGTACATGAAACTAAGTGAGCATAACTTAGGAGGTATATGCATGATTACAATTGATGACAAAGATGAGTAGTTGAATACATAGTGACATATTAGAAATTTTTAGGGTCAAAATCTACACCAAGTTGTTGAAAAACTTGAAATTGGTAAAAGCAACAACATAGCGTAAGATTTTAAATCCCGACGCTATGATAGTGATGTTTGAATCTGCATGGAACAACAAAGAATGAAAAATACCTTCTGTCCGTGCATTTGTCTTCAGAGTTTTAGTAAAAACAGATTTTTCGTAGGCTAACTTTGATGCATTAGTCGGCCAATCATCTGAGAAATACTTTACAGCAACACGCTTTCCTTCAGAATCCAGAAGCAAAATGTTCTTCACAGAAGGGCAAGATTCCTGTGAAACAGACAGATCACTGAACTAGCTACCTGATAAACCTAAGTCATCCAGGACAACTGACAGCATAAGTTTCACAATAAATGGAGTTGATGTTTAGAAAAGGGAAAAGGTAAAGAATTCCAATAATTTTATGCAAATGGAAGAAATAATGGATCCAGGACAACTGACAGCATAAGTTTCACAATAAATGGGATTGATGTTTAGAAAAGGGAAATGGTAAAGAATTCCAATAATTTATGTAAGTGGAAGAAATAAAGGATCCAGGCCATGCATGTTCTGGGTGTCTAAGGAAATCATGCAACATTATCACTCGTCTTCAAGATGGAAACACATTTTGTATGTACCAATGTCAGGACTATGCTCTCTTTTAAACTAACAAAGTAAGGGCCTGTTTGGACGTGGTTTTTCAGAAACTGTGTATCATAAAACTGTGGCTTTATAAGCCAAACTGCCAAAGAGATACTAAACCGTGGTTTAGGGAAATAAAAAAAAAGGGGTCATGAGTGGAGTTTCCAAAACTCCCAAAAGACTAAATTTTTGACAAAACCATGGTTTTAGAAACAAGGTTTGTTGTATCCAAACACCCAAGCAGCTTTTGAAAACCAAAGTATTTTGTGAAACTGTAGTATTTCTCCAATACTCCAAAAATATTTTGCATCCAAACAGAGCCTAAGCTCTGATTTTACCCCGTCCCCCACAACTGAGCAACTATTCTAACAAACTAATGACTTGGTTCCAGTTTCAAGTTCTAATGAGTAAATGTCATGACAAATGGACCGAGATGGGTTACCCTGCCCTATCATAAGGAGTGCCACGACAGTGCAGAGCAGAGAATTCAATACAGAAACATCATATACTATACTAACATATATAACCTTTGATTTCCTTACTAAATGGTACTGCCCTTTCGGTAGGAGCAATAAAAAGGGGCGTGCCCAGTGCAGAGAGCTCCCGCTCTGTGCGGGGTCTGGGGAAGGGTGTCAGTGGCAAGCCTTACCCTCGCCTGTGCAATGCGAGGAGACCGCGACTCGAACCCGGGACCTTCCGGTCACAGGCGGTAAGACTCTACCGCTTGCACCAGGCCCGCCCTTCCGGTAGGAGCAATATGGTAATAAAGTATTCATATGCCATAACATTGTTAAAAACTTTGCATTGCAGGTTGATGGTACTATTAAAGAAAATCCTCAAATGACAATGTTTTTAGAAGGCACTGACATCCAATTCACACTATTTAGGCAAATCATGATCATGATTACACACACAATCAAATGACTTAACTGGATTACTCAGCATTCAAAATAACAAGTTTCAAGGTCCCTGGGCAAAGGTGCAGATCCTGTGCTAGACAAGTTTACTACTCCTATATCTGAAGCTTCTATTCTCATGTTCATTTATTTTACATTAACACAGAACTGAATTGAAGGGCGGGCCTGGTGCAAGCGGTAGAGTCTTACCGCCTGTGACCGAAAGGTCCCGGGTTCGAGTCGCAGTCTCCTCGCATTGCACAGGCGAGGGTAAGGCTTGCCACTGACACCCTTCCCAGACCCCGCAACGAGCTCTGCACTGGGTACAGAACTGAATTCCCATTTCTATTTGACAAAATAGTAATGATCCAGTTTGGGGGTTCCCAAATAAATTCAGTTACAGCTAATCGTTCAGATCTAAAATAGGTATCAGCTTGAATTCCACATCGCCCACCCGTCCGTACATACAAATATAATTGTCAGTAAAAGCAGAAACAACAGGCATGCACATTGCCTGCAAATGCAACTCTCAGGCAAAGCAATAATCGCAAACAAAAGGTGGGTAGTTCAAAATAACAACAGAAAATAGAAGAAGAATCTTCTTCGCACCTTGGAGAAATCCGCCATGGTGTATCGCCGTTCCCTATTCCACCCTTCACACAAGAGGAAGATAGTAAGCTCATCAGCTAAGGCTCACGAGGAGCAGCGGAGCACCATGCAACAGGCAGATGCGCAACAAAATGGACCTATAGAACACAAAGGCCGTGTGGATCTCCACTCCATACCGGTATCTGGATGCGGATCTCCACTCTTTACCGGCAAGAGGGAATGAGTACGACGAGAGGAAGAGGACAGAGAGGGAGAGTCCTCAGCCGCGGCGGAAGGAAGGGTACCTGGATCTGGATCGGGGCAGGGGCGGAAGCGGCGTGCAAGTTTGGGAGGGAAGGCTCTCCTCTGGAACGAGAGTCGGGTTGGTCAGTGCCTCCTCCCCAGCCGCAGCGGTGATTGCTGGTGGACCCAAATATTTGGCTGTTCCTGCCTGTGCACCCGCAACGGGTGGAGAATTTTGATATTAAACTCTCATTTCCCAAGTTTCTAGACATTTGACATCGAATTCACGTGTCTTTTAAAATATAATTCTAGACACACGAATTGTTTTGATATTTAAGATTTTCAAGGTTTTCTCTATTTAGTAAGAGGCCTCTTTTCACTGTTTGGGACAGGGGAAAAGACGAAAATACCCATATCACATTTGAGATTGGGGCTCTTACCCGTAGGAGCCATGAAGCCGGTGGAGCAACGCCGTCGCGGCCCCTTCACCCGCTGGCGTATGGAGGGCGAAGGGGGCGACCCACTACTGGACGAGGCAGGGCCCCCAACCCTAGCGCCTGCCTACCGGGTTAGACGGGCCGGCCAGGGCGGACGGGTCTGGAGGAGCCGGGGGCGGGTGGAGGAGGAGCAGTAGGCGGGCCTACGAATTTGCTCGGGCTGGTAACGGATGAAGGAGGCGCGGTCGCGGGCGACCCCCCACTCGTGCGAGTTGCGATAGGGAGGGAGGGAGTCCAATAGCTAGTTGTGAGATGAGAGAGGGGTATTTTCGTCTTTTCCACTGTCCCAAACAGTGAAAAGAGGCCCCTAGAATTACTAAAAGAGATAAAACCTCGAAAATCCTAAATATCAAAATAATTCACGTGCCCAGGGTTTATATTTCAAAAGGCATGCGAATTCGATGTCAAATATTGAGGGGCTTGCGAACTGAGGGTTAAATATCAAAATTTCTCCCGTGTCAACGGGTGTAGACAATGCTCTTTCACGTAGGAAAGGAGGAGAGAGAAACGGCTGATGCGCTAATGGGCGCCTGGCCATGGCCGGGCCAGGGGCATGAAGGCAAGCGGCTTGTAGGGACGCAATGGCTACTTGCCGACTTGGCGAGGAGAAGGGGGAGGCCAGAAGAGGGCTTACCGACTTGGTGACGGGCAGACTAGGAAGGCCAGGCGGCGGCCAGATGCCCGACGGGGCGACGGGGCGGCCGGGCGAGTTGCGACTTTGCGAGCGCCGAGAGGGATTGGGAGGGGCGTGGTTGGCAATGGCGCCTATTGACCTTACGGCTAGAGTTAAGGATGGGCTAGGAGATGGGCCTAGAGAGGGGTTGTTGGGCTGGTTGTGAAGATATGTTCTCCAATTTTTTGGCCCAGAACTAGGGTTGTAGCACCCCTCTTGAATCTAGCCCCTATGCCTAGCCACGGAGACGTCTATGAGGGGAGGCGAGGATGGGGCATGGGTATGGAGTCTGGGAAGGGCGGTGCACGTACGCATACAGCCGTACGAGAAGACAATGATATGGGGTACGTGGCTAGTCATCGTTGGGTAAGAGAAACTCCAGTTGAGCCCCTATTTAAACCCCATAGTTAAATATAGGTGCTCAAATAAAAAATACAATTCTAATCAGGCCCTACTAGAGCCCTAAATTTTGGGTGGACACCCAAGCTCTAGGCCTTCCTGCGCACATCGCTAGGTTCCCAGCCCACCCACCGCCGGTCAGGTTCCCAGCCCGCGCGCCGCCAGCTCCTCACACGAGAACTTCTCTGCTCAGACATCCCTGTCTGCCGCCACAAGTTTGCATTCTAGTTTGTGATATGATGAGGTCGTATGGGTTCTCGATTTGATCTAGGAAGTAGGAACACGAATCTCTAGTGTACGGTCTACTGCTGTGAAATGTAATTTATACTTCAATTTCAGACTTCATGCATGTTTAGGTTTATCAGATCTTGGAATCTATGTTTCTTATGTCTACAAGGTACACGACACCGCAAGTTCATCGCATATCCGAGTTTCTCAAGATACACATGGCAGAGATGTTATGAGCTCTGCTGTAATCAGCTATCATTAAATTTGGACCAAATTTGTGTTTGAATTAAATTTGAATATTCCTATTCATTTATAATTTTAAAGTATAGTGTTGTGTAGTCTAAATAATTTATTATATAATGTGATATTCTCAAATACGCATATAGTGCGAGAAAATAGAGAGAATTGAAGATAGGGACCTATTTTAGGGGTTCTTAATGGAGTGCAGTCCAGAAAACAAGATCCTCCCTCAAATAAAAAGTAGGAGCCTTGTTTTAGGTCTACTACTGGCTACGTCATCCTATAATAATCAATAGAAGATGGAATTGCCTCAAGTCCATGTGGATCTCCGGTCTCCACTCCATACCGGTATCCTAATCAATAGAAGATGGATGAGGATCTCCGCTCCTTACCGGCAAGAGGGAACGAGGACGACGAGAGGAAGAGTTGCTCCTCAGCCACGCCCAAAATGAAGGGTACCCGATCTGGATCGGGGCGGGGGCGGGGGCGGCGTGCAAGAGGTTCCTTGGAGCAGAGAGTCGGGTTGGTCAGTGCCTCCTTAGCCACACCGATGATTGCTGGTGAACCGAAATATTGGGCTGGGCACCCGCGACAGTTGTAGACAGTGGTAAGGAGGAGAGAGAAACGGTTTATGGAATGACTCTCTCTCTCTGATGCGCTAATGGTTTTATCCATTTTCCGGAGTAGCTTTTGGAAATGGAAATGGCAAGTCGTGATCGTAATCCTGCTTCGGTTTGAATAAAGCTCTCGTGATTTGCCCTAAAAAAACGTCACCGAGCAACAAAAAGTAAAGCACAACTTCAGTACATAGTCCAATACTCCAATCAAGCAATCAGGAAGTTCAAGAGACCTGTTGCCCCTGTGAAATACTAGTACGCACCCTGACCAGTGAGAGAAAGTGGTAACAAGGCGCCAAGAGGCATCTTAATAGAACAACCGTTGAAGTTGTTGCAAAAAGCTCACAGCCTGTTCGTTTGGCTTATGCTTATCTGTATACGATCGTAAATTTCCAACGGAACAATATTTTTCTCTCACACAAACTAGCCAATAGTACTTCTTCACGAACCAACAACGATACAAAGCAGCCAACCGAACAGGCTGTGAGAAGACCACACCAAGTGATGACGTTCTCTGCTGGTCAGACCTCTTCTTCCCCTGCCTTCTGATGCTGCACTCTAATTAGGTTTGATTACTTTGTAGATTAATATATTTTTCTGTTGCCAACAAATCCTGCGTTGTTTTTCAGCATCGACAAAACATTGAGCCAAGCAAAGATTCGACAAATAGCTGGGTAGAGTTTTTTTTAGATAATGGATAAAATCCGGCTTCACATCTCTTTAAAAAAGAAGGATTAATCCAAAATTATTACAAATTTCGCTCACTCCACACAATATGTTTTACATTAATATCCAATACCAAAAATAAAAGGCCATCCATGGGAGGCGAAGAACTCCATCGACCTTGCTTCTGGTAGTTGGCAAGAGTAAACTAGGTGGTTCTTGAGTTCCTCGGTGTGTTGTAACAGAGCCCAAAACCAAAGCCAATGTGTCCCCCTGGACAATATTTGCAAAAATATTTTTGATTGGCAATTGTTAAACACGCATTCATTTCTTGCGAGCCAAATAGCCCACCACACAACCGCAACCCCTATCAAGAAAATAATATTTTGTTTCCGTCCTCCCCCCTTTGACCAAGTACCAAATAAGTGTTCGATATTGGTCGGTGGGCGTAAGAGTTGGATTAGGGATAACAATAAAATAGAGCCAAGTTAAGACCAGATAGTACCGTGGAAGGGATAAGGAAAGTAGAAACCCCTGGTGCAAGAACAATGCGCCAGCAAAGCAACTAAAAGATGTTCAATGATTCCACAACATTTTTTAATGCTTACCTACAAATGTGGGCCATCTTCTGTAAAATGAATGGGTAGCTTTTTTATTTTTGAGGGAGAGATTCTTTAGACTTTAAACAACTTTTGTCATAATTTTAACACATCTACAATGAGAAAACCAAACAATCACTTCATCTGCATTTTGACTTATTTCATCGAATTTTCACAAGCAAAGGCGAGTAACTTCAAACGAACATTGCTTAATTCAATGATGTTGCATTAAACAAGCTTGTGAATTGAGCTCTATCTAGATAGCCCAGATTTGTAACAGTCAATACTTGCATTTGAGCCATTGACAATCAGAGATTTGTGACAAATATGGTGTATAATGACGGCACAATGCCACGGTGATTTTGGGAACTACATGTTAATTATCCTCTGGTATAGTGATGGCTAATACGACATTGGCAACCATGACTGTTAGGGCATGCACAACCCACAGACAACACTCTCTGCCCGTAAGTTTATACAACTAAACAGATAGACCATACAATAGTTGTCTATTTGTCCGTCTACAAGTTGTTTAATGCTTGCATGTAGTCATGATTAATCAGAAATACAATTTCAGTATACCACGTTGTTGCTATTTGATACAAAACAAATCAAGCATAAATGAGATGAATATGTGTACAATATTTTTTAGAACCGTCAGCATAAATGATATATTATTATAGTTATATATAATAATGTAATGTAATATAATAATTTGGCATAGCATGACTGCAACTTTCTTATTTAATTTTCAATGTTACCATTGTGAGAACATCAATTGTGTGCACCTTCGTAGGTTTGTTATAACATGACACATTTTCAGAAAGGTAATTTAGGAATGACAAAGAACTGTCATTCATAAAAATCATTCATATCTAGT